AAAAAGGGCCGAAACAAAACTACTTTCGCCGGAGTTAAAAATAATGAATCATATCTCCGTACATGCAACAAAAGCTTATGATTATGACAATTTATGAGAAAAAAAAGTCATGAATTTTTGGAAAGTAGGGTTCAACCACAAATAACATGGGGCAAGTGAATTAAGGTTTTCCAGTGTAGGGTAGAAAAAAAAAAAAAAAAAGAAGTTGATTAATTAATAATCTATGGATATTCATTTCAACTCTAGATTTTGGCTGAATCCATTAGTCAATCTATATATATATAGTGCCAGTATTAAATGATACCTATATCTAAGCAGTAGTTTTTCGGTAGCTAAATTGATTCCTTTGTGGTACATTTACTTTTTAATACCTAATTTTATTACGAACAGAGGTTGACTCAAGTAGTAAGCAGCTTGATGTCGCTTAAGCAAGGTCTCGGTTTCGAGTTCTTGTGGATGCAGAACAGCCTTGTTGGGAGACTCACCCACCACTGCCAGGTGTGCGACCCGGATCGACCAACGGATTAGTCGGGACATAGCTCCGAATGCCGTGGCTAGCTACCAAAAAAAATATCTAATTTTATTTTATTTTTTTTTTAAAAAAAGGAAATGTACATATTCTGGATTCTAATAGTGAAAGTACAGTTAGAGCTAATTTTTCAAAGACTTCATATTAGAGCCTTCCTTTCCTCGGAGTAATACCGGCGGGCTTTGGGCCCGATTCTTAGGCTTATTGTCGTTCTCGATGAGGAAGGAGATGCGACAGGAGTTGGGAGACTTTTGTCTGAAATTTTGATAAGTCTCAAAGACTTGGTTGTAATTTTCAAAATTTTCGATATATTTAAATTTTGGTCTTAGGTAGATCTTTAATTTATTAAATTGTTAGATAAATGCAGATAATGTTAGCTGAAGTGCACAATATCACGTGTAGATATTCACACTAAAATTTCCTTCATTTTTTTTTACGAAATTATAGAATTGCCACCGCCTACACTTTTCGAAGCTCACGAATTTACCAAGACGGCACAACAATACAAAATGTTCAATAATGTCAGACGAAATGCAAATTAGCGACTGTAATTATGAATAAAAGCGTGATTGTGTATTCTTGCAAGAAAATGCCACCACGTTTAAAAAAAATGTCATAATTACAAAAGCACCACTGTCTCTTTGATCAGATCTGCCGGCCCTGAAACATTGATATATCACATCCAACCGCTACAATTCTATAATTTTTCTTCCACTATCACCCGTTCTTATTTGATCATACTCTAATTAGTTATACACTAAAATATATTGTAATTTTTTTTTTTCATTCCACTAGTTTTGTCTACTCTTATGACAATAAGTTACTTTTTAAAGAATATTAATAAGGTCTATATTTCGCTTGCATTCAGGTCCTATACTATTGGAATATCACTTGTGATTTGTCCCACATTGAATATCACCTGCAATCACTTTCTCTACCCGGCCTGTTCTGAGCTTGGGCTTGTGCTTACTCTCCACCCGACTCACTTTGTGGGTTTGGTCTTACGAAAGACTCATAACTGAGGGGGGCGTTAGAATATCACTTGTGAGTTGTCATATGACCAATTAATTTTGGGATGTAATATCAATAAAGTGCACCTAAGTCCATCCTATTACAACGCGCATCACCTAGTGGGATCACACCCTCTTCACTCTCTTCTAATATATACTTAATAACTACTCAAACAAAAGTGCACCTAAACTCACTCTCCTACAACGCGATTCATCTGTTGGGACTACACCCTCTTTCCTCGATTCTAATATATACTTAATAACTCAATTCAATTAGGGTCCTTGAATTTGCACATGTAATTATTTAATTGGTCCATTGAATTTGAGTCCCTTATTATATTAGAGAATGAATATTTATTTATTATATATAAATAGAGTGTATTGTGCATTGAAGTGCAAGCCCTGGCTTTGTCAATCGCCCTACGCAATGGACAAAAAAAATGTTACTTAGTTGATTTGGTTGAGAGGGCGGAGGGGGGGCCCCGTTGTCTTCGTGTCCGAACCAACCGCACTTGCAGACTAAACTCTTCGCCATTTCAGGTCACAAATCACCTCTTTCGCTGGTACGGTCTTCTCTTCTTTTTTACTTCTTTACCACAGTTAAAAATAAATAAAATTAAATAAATAAATCCTTTTTTACCCCCCCTTTTTTTTTTTACTTATTTACTGGAAGTTTGGGCCTT